AGTGGACTCCATTTGGAAACCAACTTCATTTAGGATCCCCTTATACATTGCAATTTAAAGAGCCCCATGCTGGCGCAATGGTTAGAATGCAGTATTGCAAGGTAATTCTGCCCACTGCCAGGAGTTCGATCTTGGCCGCCTCAAGGTTGACTTAGCCTTCCATCCTTCCGAGGACTCAGTTTGCTGGGGGCAATATGCTGACTCTGTATACTGCTTAGAGAAGGCTGTAAAACACTTTGAAGCGGTATATAAGTCTAAGTGCTTTTGCAGGCTGGAAAATTTCTCCATAAAAGTCACATCTGGAAAGTCACATCTCCATTGATAAGCAAGGGCTGGATGTCTGATCTATCCTTCTACAGTCCTCTATAAGGCCCTTGGTCTTATGGGTGTTAAGGACCAAATTATTGTCTCCACACCATGAAAGCAACCAGCTCATCCATAAATCATCCAAGCTGCTTTCATTTCTAAGGCGGGACTAGAACTCTCAGTCTCCTAACGATTGGTCCAAAATCACCCAGCCAGTTTTCATGCCTAAAGTGGGACTAGAACTCACGGTCCCCTAGTTTCTAGCCTGGTGTCTTAACTGCTTGACCAAAACTGGGTCTCTAATTTATTAGTTAAAGGGAAAAAAATGCTCCTCTCTCATTCATTCATTCATTCATTCATTCTTTTCTTCCCCTCTCCAGGTTTCGAACCCTAGGAAGAAGTGCAAGAAAAAGAAGTACATTAACTCGGGGACTGTAAGTGTAGGACAGTTTTTTTCCCCTCTTAACCCACATCCCTGCCGCCCCTCATCCTTACAAATCAGTGCATCGAGTCATGTGAAGCTGATGGGAATATTTTCACTGGGGCACAATCCAGATTTTTCCAGTCAAACGTCTTTCCTGCTATAAAAAAAAGGAAGTGCTTGTGTTATTGAAGCCAATCACATTTCCCTTCTCTTCATGATTCACTTCTCTTGAGGCCAATCCAGAATAGACATCGCCTTAGCAAGGGGTTCTCTGCCTGGTTGTTGGGTGGGTGTGGCCTAGTCGGCCTCCTGCACCATGGGGGGCGGGTGCATTTTTGCCCTCCCTGGGCTCTGGAGCTATCCTTGAGTCTCTGGGAGGGTGAAAATGGCCTCCCCAGGCTTCGGAGGCCCTCTGGAGGCTGAAAACGGCCCTGTTTCTGGCCTCCCCGAACTTCCAGTAGGCGCCTCCATGCGGGCCTTGGACTTACCTGCATCCAAAATGGGCTGCGTGTGCAGTCCTGGGAGGGGAGGGGTGGAGTGGGCGAGGCCAGCCAGGAGTGGGATTTGGGGGTTCTCCAAACTGCACAGAATCTTAGCTAGAGGTTCTCCCGAACCCCTGCGAACCCCCAGCATCCCACCCCTGATCCCCTCCCCAAATCTTTCTTTCTGCCCAGATGAGCTCACCATCTAGAATATCTCACGTTTCTTCTTCTTCTTCTTTCTTTTTCCCCCCTTCTCTTGTGTTTGTTTTTCTCTGTTCCTGTTAGGTAACCCTTCTGTCATTCACAGTGCAGTCAGAATTCACCTTTGTTGATTACATTCGAGGCGGGTGCGTCGGTTGAAAATCCTGGATGCCTCTCAGGTCCCTGGTTTCTGAGGGTTTCATGAGCCCTCAGCCCTCTTCCTGTCCTCTGCCTCTGAGGCATTGCGGGGGAACTATAAGAGGGCATCGGGGGCAGAGCGCGATGACTTTTAAGGTGATAAGGAAGTAGCCGCCTCGTTGGGGAAGGCGGGGATGCTCTGGTCTCTTGAAGAGGGAGACTTGCTGGTGCTGGTGAGATGATGAATTGCCTAGCACCCCAAAAGGGAGCACCCTTTTGACATTGGAGGGTATCTCCAAGGATGGCAGCATCCATTTCTCTCTCTCTCTCTCTTTTCCGCACCACCCTTAGGACGCAACTGAATTTTACTGTCGCCATTGACTTCACGGCCTCCAATGGTGAGTGCAGCATGCTTGCGTATCACTATGGGAACCGAGCACAGCTCTGCTGCTGGTAACACACAAAGGAGCCAGGTTGACTCCGATGCTCACTGAGACAACCTGGGCATTGTCTCTGCTCCTGTCATTTGGGGAGATGGGACAAGAATTCACCTGGGCCCCCTGGATAGGGATGGCCAGGGAGGAAGATGTAGGACTTACTTGTATTGTGACTCCAATGTGATGATCCAGCACAAAGATCACATGGGCAGTGAGAGTCTGGTCTCCCCTTTAATGCTCCAAATTTCCCCTCAAACGCTCCCACTTTCTTGGTAAGTCCCAGAGCAAAGCGCGCACATGCACACACAGACACACACACAGACACAGCAGCCTCTGGCTGCACCCAGTCCAGCAAAGTAAATAAACAATGACTCCACAAAGTCAGGAACAAGGTACTGAGTCCACAAGTAAGGAAGAAGCAAGCAGTCCTGCAAACTCCTAATGCCTGTACCTGCACGCCAAACTCTACCAATTCAGTGTTTATTCCCAACAAATGCCCCTCCCCACAGCGTCTCCTTAAATCTCAGTCCCCAGGTGTGCCTTGTGAAGAGGGTTTTTGGGTGCTCTCCTTCCAAGTTCTTGGGTCGGCCTGCGCTGTTCCCACCTTCTCTCCACTCTCCGTGCTCGGGGATCAGGAGGGGGCAGTCCTTGCTCATCGCCTGAGGTCTGTCACTCCACCTGTCCACCTCCCCCCCTCGGTCATCCTGCCCCCGTTCCTCCCTGCTAACAAGCTGTTCCAATCCTGAGGGGTCCTGGGCTGCCTTGGCTTTTCCTCGCCACATTTCTCCAAAGCCAATGAACCTACCCCCTCGATCTCTGTTGGTTCTAGCTCCAACTCGACCTCCTCTGCAGATTCAGGCTCCGATGGGAGCATGACACTTTTGGTATTGGGGGGGTGGGGGAAGGCGGATGCAGGACTTTTTGAGACTGACAAAATGCCTTTTCATAGGGAACCCTTCACAGCCCACTTCTCTTCATTACATGAGCCCTTATCAACTCAGCTCCTATGCCATGGCACTGAAAGCAGTTGGCGAAATCATCCAGGATTATGACAGCGACAAACTTTTCCCTGCTTATGGCTTTGGTGCCAAGGTCCCACCAGACGGCAAAGTGTCTCATCAGTTCCCTTTGGTAAGAAAGAACTTCCTGGGTGAAGACAGGAGGGACCATAATGCCTGCCAGTACACGTGCAACTCTCAAGTCCCATCCCTGGCATCTTCATCTGAATGGATCTGAAAGAGTAGGGGTGTGGGGGGGGGGTGGCATGATGGCTCAAAGGTTAAGACACTGAGCTTGTCAGCTGGAAAGCCCCAACAACCCGAGTTTGAGACCCAAGTATTACACAACAGGGTGAGCTCCTGTTCCTTGCCCCAGCTCCTGCCCACCTAGCCATTCGAAAGCATGCAAATGCGAGTAGATAAATAGGTACCACTTTGGTGGGGAAATTACTGCATTCCGTATTTTCATGCTGGCCCCAGGAGGACAGAAGCATCTCTCAGGCCACGCAGGCTCCCTCGGCTGAGAATCGGAGATGAGCACCTTCTTAAGTTAGTCGCACCTGGACAGGGGAAATCTTTGAATAGTTTATTTAAAATTCTATTATAATATTAAATTGTATTACCTCATGATGGTGACATTAGAAATAGCGCTAGAGATAGAAAGGGCTTTTAACATTCCTTTACCACTGAATAAATTATCATAGCCATACATCATTGATTAGAAGTTAATAAGAAGGGTTTCCAATTCAGAGAATGTGGTTCCAAAGTTCTTTATCTTTTAATATTTCTTTTCTAAAATGTTATCATTGTGAGGGATACGTCAGGGGCATCTCAAGGTTGGGTCAAAAAAAGATCACGTTGGTGGACACAAACAGGTCAATCCAAGACCTGTCTCATTTTTTACTCGTGTTATACTCACAGCACGTGTTACAAAGGGCTGGACACTTGACTGGGCAATCACTACTGACCTCAACTTATGCCCGCACATGCACACATCATGGACATTCCCACTCACTTGCCCTTTAATGTTTATGGATTAGATTCAGTGGTGGGATTCAGCCAGTTCACAACTATTCGGGAGAACTGGTTGTTAACTTTCTTAGCAGCTCGGAGAACCGGTTGTTGGAAGAAGTCTTCTTTTGTTTTTTCCATTTTACAGGGCTAATCCTGT